TCGGAGTACGACCGCTACTATATATTATAGGTAAGTAGCGCGTACGTAGATACTAGATATAAGACTTAATAGGTTCGATAAGGAGCTAAGTCTATCTACGTAAATCGGAATAGTTTTGTACAGTACGCTAAGCGCTAAGTAGTAGGTTAGAGTCGCGTAGGCCGAATGCCTAAGGCTAGCGCTTTCTACCTAGGGCGTAGCCCTTTATACTATATAACTTACTATAGCTTCCTATACCTTAGATACTTTAAGACTATAATCTTAAGTATAGGTCTTCGCGACTATTATAGTAGGCCTTAAAAGACTACGATAGGTAGTTAGTAGCTAGTACTCGTTATATCTATACCGGTACGACGCGAATAACTATCCTATAGCTATAGTAGTTAGATCGAGATTAGTACTAGTATAGTCTATAATAGTCGATTGTAATATTATATTACTATAATAGCAATTATAACTACGCGCCTACTAAAGTCGATATATAGATAGTCTAGACGTAGGTAGCTATATAGACTATACGTTATACGCGGCTACTATATTTACATAACGCGCGCCTTCCTTAGTATATATAATCGAAGAATCCTATAATTACGTATAGCTTCTTAAAGGCTATAGAGGTCGATAGAGCTACGATTAGGACTAAAAGTATCGATAGTATTATATTTAATAGACTTTAATAGCGGAGCTTATAGTAGAAAGGCCTCGGTACTAGTCTTATACACTAAATTACGCTTCTAGTAATACCGCTAGTGTAATCGAGTATACCGCCTTAAGTAAATACCGCTAGATTAGGCGTAAGCGACCGATATAGTATCGGAAATACTACTATCGTAGCGGCGAAGCGTTATAATATATACTATAACTCCTATACTCTCTAAACCTCTTACGAACTAAGAAATTTTAAAGTCCCTCGGCTATAACTAACTAGACTCGGCTTCTAGCTCGTTTTAAGGTATACTAAGCCTAAAAAGGCCCTATTTTTTTTTACTAAGCTTAGAGAGAGATATTTATAATACCCTCTTTTTAAGTTCTAGTAGTATTATTATATACCCTTATTAAGCGAGATAGTAGAAAGGGGGTACTCTCTTAAAAAACGGGACCTAACTAGCGTATATACTAACTACCTTAAGGGACTATCCGCACCTTCTAAATAAGTTTGCGCCTAACGTTTCTAAGCTAGCTTACCGCCGTCCGTTATCTCGCATACCCTAAAGCAGTCTCCGAGCTAAGACTATCTTATAGGGCCCCGCTTAGAATGCTATAGATCTATCCCTAATAATGCAAGATAAAGGCCCTTTATTAGATAGTGTTAGATACAGCAGACTTTTAGCGTATAGGGTTGTTGTCGATTGCTTACATTTTACGAACATACTCGGTAGTAGTAGAGTCGATAATTAGATCGAGATATAGCCGGTTTTGCTAGCTAAATCGGGCATGCCGAGGACTCGTTAGTCGCTAACTTTATGTCGTAGTAGTTAGTCGTTATGTCGACGAAGAAACAGCTGTATAGCTATATAAAAGGTATTGTTAGCAGTTAGGTAGGCAAATTCTACGCTCTTTAATCTACGCTTTTTAATCTACGCTCTTTAATCTACGCTCTTTACAATAGCTTATTTAATCCCCTCTTACCTTAATATATTACTGCGTTCTTAGCTCTTTAATCTACCTTTAAATGGCCTGTTCTTAGACACAGACAAATACAACAAGGTATAGCTATTTGCTAGCAACTTCTAGTACTAGAAGCTATAGGAGAGGCATAAGGATAGCTTAATATAGCGGACAATATACTATTATCGTTATCGGCAGGATACTAATCGGCTACGCGAGTTGCTAGATAGTATTCGGAAGGTAGAGTTCTATAAGGAAGGGTATAATGCGACATGTATAGTAATTGCTATATATCGCTCGAAATAGTATAAGGAGCCTTATATATATAAGGTCGCTTCTTCGTCCCCCGATCCTAGTACCGAGGTAGGCTCGCTATATTGCTATTCGATAGATTATATAGTAAGTTTAGTAGTATTGTCTCTCGAGTCGATAGCGGAGGCCTAGCTAGAAGCTAATAGTTAGTAGGACGTACGAGGTGCTAGTAATAGCTTGAAGGTCGTTCTCGAGTACTTAATAGACTAATACGACTATAATACAGCTCGTATATTCTATCTAATAAAGGAAGGTCGTAATGCTAACCGCTTTGCCGTTATTAGAGGCTATCGTATAAAGGAAGGTATAATAAAATAGTCGAAGAAGAAGGACAAGAAGAAGGTAACCTTTGCTAAGAAGGGCAATATCTCCCTCTAACTCGAGAACCTATATAACGAGCTATCGCTATTAACTGATCTAGTAAACGGCGCTTAGTTACAGTATAAAGCTGTATTAGTAACTATAGAAGGGCGCCTTTATAAGGGCATTATATAGCAGGCGGATTAGTAGAGGCAGTTGTTAGACAATAGATTAGTAGGAGATGTAAGTGTACTACTACTACTACCCCGCTTACGTAACTAGGCTGTAGGAACCGCAAAGCAGCGACTAATCTAGGATTAGTTATTTCTCTACGACGCAACGTATAAGACTACTAATATAGGCTAGCATCTCTTTATAGTATATATCCGCAATAGATTCGAAAGTTAGATACTAGCTGTATATATATTGCTATAAACACAGCGTACGAGGCTTTAGCAAGCTGCTTTCTAAGTCCTAAAGCAGTAGTACCCTCGCTAGAAGCCGAGGTTAGCTATAACTAACGACTCGGTACAAGAACAAGCGGCTATTCGACTGTCCTTCGACGAGGAAATACGACTGTATCTCTACTAGCGGTACGCTAAAGAGACCTTCCTTCGACACTTTCCTAAATTCAAGTACCCTATAGTCTAGAGACTATTTAAAAGAGCCATTTATTAGGCTCGGAGTAAGGTAGAGGTTAAAGAAGTTATTACTGCAATAGAAGCGGAGTTGCGGCTTCTTAATAAGCAAGAAGAGACTTAGTATTTACTAAAGAATTGGTCGTCGGACAAGTTATAGAAATAGGCTATATAGGCTCGTTTAAACAATCTAGTCCTTATACAAATACGTACTACATCGCTACTAGAAGGATACTACAATGCTATTAAATACGACCGGAAGAAGGACCTCCCTTAGTTAACGATATATAGCACTATAACTAAGTTGCTAACAATCGACGCTCGACAACTATATAAGGCGGACCTTTAAAGCTATAGAATTAGCAAATGCACGCAATATTAGAAGGTTAAAGAGATGCTATACTTTAAGGAGTTAATACCTCCTACTATATAGGACTTCGTTAGGAAACAACTAGCTATTGCGGAAGAATATAAGGCTAAGGCATTGCTACTATACGACGGCCTTGTATTGTATCGTAATAGATAACTGCCTTACTACAATTGCCTTCCTTAGTTCTAGTAGCATTTGCTATACTACTATATACTAAGACACTACCTATTTGTAACGCCGCTTACTCTATAGCAACAATAGCTCTACGTTAGTTTCTACTATAGCTTTAATAGCATAGAAATTAGTTAATACTAGCGGTAGCGAGATAGTACTACTCTCTTCCTCGAGGGCTTCGAAGAGACTTAATACACTACTAGCGACCCCTATCTTCGTAACCTTCGCGCTTACTTTAACGAAGGTATAGAAGGCCTCTTATAGCACTTCTATACGGTCCGTAACGACAAGACTATCTGTAATAGTACGCTAAAGGACAAATATATAAGAAGCTTCTTACGGCGTATTAAAGACACGCTTACTTAGCTAGCTAACTTCTTACTAGATAACTTCCTTCGAGAAGGTACGCCTAAGGTTCAATTAACTAGTAACCGATAGCGATAGTAGACTTAACAATAACTTCTACCTAAACCTGTTACTCTAACTCGCTAGTAATTGCCTCGGTATCCGACCCTTCCGCTACTACTACTACTACTACTAGCGACTAAATATAGACCTCGAGCGTTTAACCTTCTACGGCTTAATAAGACGCTCTTATTACTAACGCGCCCTTACATTGTCGACCTTCTTACGCCGAGTCCGCTATCCTTTAGACCCTTACCTTCGAAGCTACCGCTACCGCGGTAGCCGCGCGAGTCGCTATTATCTATATAATCGGCTTAGCCGCTCGACTTAGATACTATCGAAGAAATAGCCGAGCTTATAGACCTTACTTCGCTAGTAGGAGCCGCTTCGCTATTAAAACAAGACCTAGAAGTAGTAGAAGACTTCCCTTAGTTAGATAATAATAACGCTCTACGAGAGGTAGTAGGTAAGAGGCGGACTTCTAATAAATATAGTAGCAATAGCAAGCGTAAGCGACTAAAGGCGGCGACAATACTACGAGCTATTAAGAGGCCGAAGAAGAAGTAGTAGATAGTAACAACACCTTAGAAGCTACTATAACAGCCTAATTAGGCAAGCCGAGCCTATATACAAAACCGAGCATTTCCGTAAGCTTAGTAGGTCCTATCGTACGCCTAATAATCGGGCCATTTCCTAGCCGGAATAGTAGAGATAGTCCCGTAGGAACCTAAAGGAATGGGACGCTAAAAGTCTGCTACAATCAAGGCTATCTCCCTTTATTATTACGGATATGCCGAAATCCTATTCTCTTCCCTACGACGTTACCTAGCACACAGTTTAATAACTATCCCGCTACGATGAAACGAAACGCACGGAACACTGAAGTTTCAGGTAAGGCAATGTGTGTCTTCGCGGACGGATCTGGTGTGGAATTGAAACTGCATACATCTCTGATAGCTCTCTCTGCCTTCGAATATCGTAGATGTAGAGCTTTGCACGCCTTGCCTTGAAGAAGACCAACCAGTCCAGCTTGTTGACCACTTCAACTTTTTCCCCTCGAGCTATGCCGTTTTCGCGCGATTCTTTGCCTCGAGCTTGATTGTGTCCGCCCGACCTGACAGAAGTCTGATGATGATGATGATGAATCTTCCAAAGAATCGAATGCGTCGAACGTACAGCAACCAACGGATCAATCACGACCTCATGCGCGCAAACCCGCGAAGATAGAACTGAAACATGCGTTGAAGATCCCGGCACCCACACCTCTCCGCTCCTCTGCCCAGCATATCAATCATCAAAGATTCAGGAGCCTGTGGTGCGGTTTTCCTCCACCCGGATTGGACGACTACCAGCCAGGGGATGCGGAGCTTCGACCGAACGACCAGATCGGAGGCCTCTTTGATCTTGGCGTCGGCTTCTAGCCATCGCGTGAGAGGAGTGCCGCCTGTGGAGTGGTGGGAGATGTGGGAGAGGGTGTCTTGGATTTCTTGGGGGATGCCTGAGAACTTGAGGTGGGTGTGTTTGTTGAGGTGGGCGAGGGGGGAGAGGGAGATGAGGAGGTTTTTTGTTTGGTTTTTTTGTGGGTGCGGAGGGTGGTGGGTGGGTTTTGTTGCGGAGGAAGACGATTGGGGGGCGGGAGGTGAAGAGGATTGTGGTTAGATTGTAGAGCGTGGTGTTGAGGTGAAGCTTGTCGGTTGTGTCGAGGTTGACGTCAATGGTTATGACTTTTGCTTCGTGGATTGGTGTGCGGTGCCATGGGTCGAGTTGACGGGAGCGATTCTTGGTGGAGAATTGTTCGTTTAATAGAATCGACGTCTGTGTATGAGCGATGTAGCGCGTGCCTAGTCCGTAGATTCTCACTACTAGACTGGGTGAGCATTCTTGCTTGAGGATTCCCAGTCCTTCGGCGTGACAACGCCTCGAGACTCGAAGTATCTCGGGATAGAGAGGCGCTGGTCTATTTCTGTTGTAGAGAAGCAGACGCTCATAGATGATATTGCGCAGCTCTCCGGCCAGATCCATGAATCGGAAGGTGAAGTTGTCGTCCAGAAGTCGCAGACAGCGGATGACGAATCGCTTGTCATGTCTCTCGTATGCGGGCAGCTCTTTTGCTGACCGCTGTTTGAAAAACAGCTGGAGTTCTTTGAGCGTGCAAGTCTCGTAGTCGAGACCGGCAAGCGGTCTGGGTGGTGCTTCCATTGCAGAAGTGTGCTGTGAGGTGATATGAATTCGCGCGATGGTGTAGTGTTGTGCGCGACGGGTAGAATACAAGATTGTGGACCTATCTTGTCAGCTAGCGTTTCAAGATCGAGTCGGATCACATGCTGCATGTGATTAGCGCGCTAAGTGACGCTAAGTGAGCAAGCAAACGCGACCTGGCACGTGCATATGGGTCTTCTTAGGAATTCCTGCCAGATAGCTGGCTCTTCGTGAAGTCAAAAGCAGTGCGATGTTTTGATGTGGGCAGGATGCGTGATTCGGGAAGAGAGAGCGAGAAGCGAGACTCAAATGATGAATGTGAAATACGCGACTCAATCAAACTCCAAGCTCACGGACGAAGCGCAACAGGACCACCCGCAGCAAAAAGCGCCGAAGGCTCTCCAGTTACCCTCCAGTCCTGACCGATGAACGAAGCAGGGAATCCAGGATCGAAGTTCTTCTTGCTCTCCAGAAACTCGACTTGTTCCTTCGTGAGCTTGATATCCAGACCTTTAATGTTGTCCTTCAGATGCTCGATCTTCCTGCCGCCAATGAGAGGCAGCACGTTTGGAGCTTTTGCACGAACGTATGCCAAAGCCACGGCTGTGACGCTCTCGGTACCGTGAGCTTTGGCGACTTCTGCCAGTGCTTCAGACATGGCGACTTCTTCTTCACTCTGCTCGGCGCCGAAACGGAGAGGTTCGCCATTGGATTGGCGCTTTGCGATGGCCTCTGGAGTCTGAAATTTACCGTCTCCGAGAACTCCCCACGGTGCGATGGCCATCCCGTGTTGTATTGCCATTGGGACGATCTCGCGTTCGAGATCGCGGATCAAGACGTTCCAGCGGCCTGCGCCATCAGGATCAGCAGAGGGAGAAATCGAAGTATTGACACATACCTTGATAGATACTGAACGGCGTCTTGCCGTGCATCTTGGCATATGCATTTGCAGAGGCAACGACCCACGCCGGGGTATCGCTGATTCCCAAGTACATGACTGTTCCCTGCTGTACAAGAAGATGTAGCGAGTCCATGACTTCTTCGATCGAGACTGTGTAATCCCAGTAGTGCACATAGAGCACATCGATCCACTGAGTCTTGAGCTTCGCCAGAGAGTCGCGAACAGATACGTGCATGCTTCGCTTATGATTTCCCCAGTAGTTGTTGTTCGCGGGCGTCTTGTCGGCATTTGACCCAGCCTTGTAGTGGAATGAGAATTTGGTTGCAATGACCACTTGGTCACGATTTTTCCTCGACTCCATCCACTCGCCAATCCAGCCCTCGGACTGGCCATCTTGATAGCAGTTGGCTGTGTCGATGAAGTTTCCTCCAGCATCAAAGTAGGCATCAAGAAGTTCAAATGCTTGCTTCTTGTTCATTGCTCCCATAAACGACCACGCTTCCCCTATGGACATGGCACCCAGAATGAGAGGAGATACCCGAATGCCAGCTGTGGAGGAGAGGACTTGATGTCGACCTAGCGCGGTCTTTGGTGTTGGAGCTGCTTGCATGAAGTCGGCCATGTTGAAGGACTGAGGTGGTGGATGCGGGATGCTGGCAGAGCAATGTTCGTCCATGTTTGGGCATACTTATAGAGCTGCGACACTGGCGTGCGGACTTACGGCCATTCTTTTCGACCATTGTGCATGACGCATGGTGGCCTCTGGAGATGCAAGATGCAGTTCGCGTGGTGTTTATTCAGGTCGTGAAGTCTCTTGGCAGCTTCCGAGAAAGGAAAGTAAGCTAAAGAGGACTAGGTTTGGATTGACGCCACTGGAGCAAGCCGGGTGTTAGAACATGACGAGGTCGATCCTCACAGCAGCCATCAGCCCTCGAACCTCTCCAGAAGTCACCTCTTGGCAGCTACTCGTTTGGAAAAGTCCATGTCGCAACAGTTATTCTGGATACACAAAAGCGCCGACTCAGAGCGTCTGTCACAATGCTCCAGATCAGAAGAATCGAAGATCCGGAGACACGTTCAGAGTGCTAAGTCCGGGCCCATAATCGCCACAAAAGCTGATGCCCAAAACGCTCAATCGACTGCAAAAGCATTCAAACGTGCCCTGCGGCCAAATCCATCCTTGAGACAGACCGGAAAGGGAAATAATGCAAAAGCAAGCAGAGATGTGGACGAGCGATCAGGGGATGTTTGGTCGATAGGCCGGCCCTTGCGTTCAGGCTGGCAGAGCCTCGACTCGTATAGCCTGCGCAGTCTTGCGTTCTTCGAAGCTCGCACGTCCGTGGAATGTAGCGGATGGGAGGATATGTCGTTCTGGGGAAGGCTGGTGCTGCAGGTGTCGCAGCACAGCCAAGCAATCGCATATGGCTTGTGCGCGTTGTCGAATTGGCATGAAAGCATCAGCTCGCCGGCCGCATCCTATGCCTATGCCGTTCTGCACAAGCATGCCAGTGCACGGAACGCTCAGTTGGCGGCCCAGGCTCTGATGAGGAGTGAGCCGCCACTCTTCGAAGCTCTTGTCTCATGTGTAATCATGCTTGTGCTGCAAGGTGTCCAGCACGGCCGGCATGCTTTTCGCTTGCTTCGGGCGGGCAACCAGCTACTACAGGAGTATGACGCGAAGCAAGCCTTGAGCACCGGGCACGTGGCCTCTCCAGCGGAGGCTCATGCCATCGAGACGAAGCTTCGACCTCTGATGAGACGGCTGACCGCGCGCGCCTTTCGGTTGGGAGACATCTCCACGGCCTTTTCCATGTCGGTGGCGAGGGAATGGGATGCGCTCACCGATGAGTCGTGCAGGAAAACGCAGCCTGTTTTTCCATCTTCGTTCCAGTCATTGGTCGAGGCGAGAGATTGTCTGCTCGAGATGCTGCAGTGGGCACACCATTGTCTGGCATGTCCGAGCACGGCGTGCTCCTTGACCGGCTTCCGCGATTTGCACTCGCATTGGATGAACGCAGTCGGCCAGCTTGTTCCACGGACTACTGAAGATGCAAGCACAACAAGCAAGCCAAGCAGGCTGCTGCAGGTGTCCGCGCTGTTTGCCAAGATCCTGGTCGAAACATATCCCGTCCAGCAAGAGACAGACTACGACCAGCATATCCAGGACTTCGCACAGATCGTTACCCTACTCGAACCGAACTTGCCCACCGGGCCGTGCAATCCCCCGGAAATCTCCTTCGGCGTGGACGACGGCGTGGCCGATATCCTCGGCTTCGTCGGCCACAAATGCCGAGACCCCCACATCCGTCGACGCGCAGTATCTCTCCTCATGCACAGCAGTCGCGTAGAGGGAGATCGCAATTCGACCAACACCGGCGAGATCCTCAAAGTCCACATCGCACTGGAAGAACGTAATAACGAATCCATCACAGCCTGCCACGACGTTGCAGAGGCCGACCGATGGCGGTTGATCTGCGGCCAGCAATTCTTCGCGCAAGGCCTGATTCGACTGTTCTTCGCACGCTCGCCCTACGACCCCGCTTTGGGGGCCGATGTGACGGAGCATTATATCCGATTGCCGGGGCCGATGGAAGGCGATCCCTCGTCGGAGCAGCCCGACGCGGTCTTTGCGCCCGGGTTTGCCGCTTTTCTCGACGATCCGCTGGCGGGGACGTACTATCGAGTGGAGGCCGAGCATTTGGTGTTTCCGGTGCCCAGGGTATAACAACCAACTTCCACTGCGTCACGTGACTCCCGAACTCCGGGGTCCATCCAACCCTTCAATCACAACACCTCCCCCTATCAACAACCACCCCACCCCATGCCTCCCCACCAACGCCGAAAAATGGGAGAAGCCTACGACGACTGGGGAAATCCTACCTCACCACCTCCTCATCACTACTCCAGCACCTGGCACCGACCGAACCAAGGCGCAATCGCCAACCTGAAAGCTTACGCCGTGCATTGTTCGCGAAAGTATCGGACCGTACTTTCGACGCTTCTGTTCGGGTTATGTGTGTTGGGATTTTTTGCGAGAGGAGGAAGAGATGTAGGAGGAAGGGAGGCAAAGATTGATTGGAAAAGTTTTGCTTATGTACAGTGAGTTTTTTTTGTTGAAGGGGAGTTCGAACGGAGAGGAGTGTGACTACCATGCTGACATGACGTTTTCAAGATATGTGACGGATAATCATAATTTGTGTAACGGTAAGAAGCAGTTTAGAACAATGAGGTTTTTGTTTTTGTGAGCTTTGCTAATGATGTGTATGTATAGCCTACATGGTATTCGAAGCATTACACCGACTTGGCAGCAAGGCCGATCGAGTACTGTTGTACCCCAAAGAATGGGATCTGGTCGACGAATCGCCTCAAGATCGCAACAGTCAACTTTTGATCCGAGCGGAGAAGTTGTGGAAGGTGAAGCTCAAGCCGATCACGGTCCTTGACATCGAAGGCGATGCTTCTCCCGGCACTCTCAACGCACCCAGCTCATGGGACGCTTCAATAACAAAGTTGCGGGCCTTTGATCTGGTCGAGTACGATCGAGTGCTGCATCTGGATAGCGATGTGACCTTGTTCCAACATATGGACGAACTCTTCACACTTCCAAAGACGCCGGTTGCGATGCCACGAGCGTACTGGTCGGAAGGAAAACCGAACGAGTGGCCGCTCACCAGCCTGATGATGCTGATCGAGCCCAATCCATTCGAGCTCAAGAACTTCCTCGACATCCTCATGTCGTGGAAGCTGCAGCCAGGATTCCAAGCCGGGAGGAACTTCGACATGGATCTGCTCAATCACCGATTCGGCGCTTCTGCCATGGTTCTCCCTCATCGACCATACGCTCTCCTCACGGCCGAATTCCGCAAACACGACCACTCCGCCTATCTCGGTACCATCAACGGTCCACGAGAACGCTACCCTTCCAAATACGACTGGGATCCCGATCGCATCTTGAAAGAAGCCAAGCTGGTCCATTTCTCCGACTGGCCACTGCCGAAGCCTTGGGTGATGTGGCCGTATCAGGGCTTGTCAGAAATGCAGCCCGACTGCGATGGGAAGACCGAGGGCACGTGCCGAGAGCGCGAGATCTGGAAGGACTTGTATGCGGATTTCCGGAAGAGGCGGAAAGATCTCTGTCGCATTTTGAGCGTTCCTGCGCCCAAGTGGTCGGATATCAAGAATGCGAGTGCGACGATGGAACGGCCGCATCAGTAGTAGACCGTAGTCAACAGCAGGGTTTCAATTTTCCGTGCACTCACACACACACGGTGATATTTGTCCCAAGTCATCATCCATGATTCCCAAATGTCATCCTCTTCAACATGGTGCACCGCAGACAAACCCCACTGCTCTTTCCGCCTCACTCTTCGCACCTCCGTAGGCCGACCCCGAATTATAAACGAAACATACACAATAGCAAGTCCTCGCGCGCGGCATCAATGTGCGCGGAATGTCTCGTGCACCGAAGCCGCATATCCGTCATATGGCGGAGATTGCGGAGGTAATCTTCGATATTACGCAGTTGTCTATACGCGACTCGAAGAAGTTCGCAATGAGGTGGGTGCGCGCTATCGCTTCGACGGGGTCCATGGCTCGCGCGTCGATCTGGAGAGGACGGAGAGTTTTGAGATCGTCTCTGCGGGGGGAGTCGAGGCTGATGTCAGTAAGGTTATGTCTGAAATTCCTGGAGCGGGCGTCTCTGCTGCGATTGAGACCTCGTGGGTGGACTTCTGCTGTGCTGTGGTGAGTTTAATCGACTGCGAGCATTCGAGTTTGACTACTGGTGGGGGATGGTGATTGTCTGCCATGTTGCTGACCTACTCTGTCACTCTATGGGTGATGGTTCCCGCCTGATTGAGAATCCCGATGAGACTCATGGTGAGTCGGAGGTGGCATTGCTTACTCCTCCGCTATAGTTATATGCCGCCGCCGGTGGCATCGTGGGAGCGATGGGAATTTGTGTGTAGCATAGAGTTCGGCGCTGTCGGGTGTTGTCATTGTTGATCTCTACTGATTTTGCTTTGGCCATGTATTGTGTCGGCGTTATGGGAGCGCGATCGGTGTCGGTGTTGCTGGAAATGCCGAGATGTTCGGCATGGTTGGCACGTTCCCCGAGTGCATGGAACACGACTCCCGCTAGTTTCCGCTGTTCTTCTCCCAATAGCCATCAGCCATTTCCCATGCATCCAATGCTTACTTTTGACGTATGTGGATCAAACAGCAGCTCGAGGGACTTCAAGTACTGCAAGCAGAGATGTTTCTTGGTATGTGTTACCTGTTCTGACTACAACTTGGACCTCTGACGTTCTTTCTTCATTTCGTCAGCAGCCTTCTCACGTGGCATCTTCTTCAAGATCTTGCCGCTTGGATTCTTCGGCTGTTTCGCTATTAGTCAGTACAGGGGGGACAAAAACTTACAATCTCGTCCCCAAGAACACCACACCCCCATCCGGTCGCTTGAACTTGGCCAATTTCGATCCCATGTATTCATACACACCATTCTCATCTAGACCCTTGCCTTCGCTGCTCTTCTTCCTCACGATGTACGCTCGGGCAAACTCCGAGTCGGAATTCTTGTCCTTCCCCACGCCAATGACACCAACGTCTGAGATGCCGGGGTGATCGAGGAGGACTGCTTCCAGATCAGGAGGGGCTACTGGAAAGCCTCGGACCTTGATCAACTCCTTCTGTCGGTCGACGATGTACCATTTCCCAGTTTTGCCGTCACAGTAGGCGATGTCTCCAGTGTGAAAGAATCCGTCTTTGTCCCAGGAGTCCGCGGTGGCTTTCTCGTCCATGTATCCCGGGATGACAGTATCTCCTCGCATGCAGAGCTCGCCACGGATATCATGGCCTGTGATTTCTTTCTTCTCGTCTGCGACGTCGCATAGCTTGAGCTCGATGTTGGGTACAGGACGTCCGCAGCTCCCGGTATCGTCGTCTTCGGGGTAGGGGAAGTTTGTCGCGATGCAGCTTGTTTCTGTTCGCACTAGAAGTCAGCCACGCATTGCAGAAGTCTGCAATGAACCCACCTGTCATTCCCCAAACTTGTGTAAATGGAGCGCCATCGGCAAGTAATGCTTGAAACTTCGCTTGTTGTGTCTCCTCCAGTGGAGCAGTACCACATGTCGCGAACTTTATGCTCTTCATTGAGTACTTGTCCTTCAAATCAGAGTTGATGATCTGAAGCACCATAGGCGGCACAGTGGCACAGTCGGTGATCTGATATTTTTCGATAGATTTGAAGTAACTTTCGAGTTCGAACCTTCTCATGACGTAGGTTTGTACTCCATTCTTGAGGGGCGAGGAATGAGTTGATGGGCAAGTTGCGACGTGAAACATCGGAGTGCACATGAGTCGGCGTTCCGGCTCGGCCATTAGCACGTCGCTCGAAGATATTGTGAATCGCTCCCCACTTCATAAGGCTTGGGCTTCCACTCGTTGATCTGGACATGCTGGGCAATCAGATTATAGTGTGTAAGCATAGCAGCTTTGGGCAAGCCTGTGGTTCTGCTACTAAACATGCGTGCAGCTGTTGTCCTCTTCGATCTCTCTGCGTTATCCCAGCTCTCCCAATCTTCTTCCCCGTGGTCAAGCAACGAACGCTATGACTTGAAGCCTTCAGGTACCTTCTGCCATTGGCGGTTGTCAAAATTTAGAACTCTTTCCCTCGAGATGCCAGCATCGTCGGCCGCCTTGAGTGCGTGTTTGATGAGCTCGGGCTCTACCACTAGGAACTTGATCTTCGCAGCCTTGATGGCATGGGCGAGCTCGTATGGCTGGTATGAAGGGTTCGTTCCAGCAAAGATACCGCCAAATGCCATGATTCCGTTGACCAGGATTGGATAGTTGATCTAGTCCTGGTCAGCTGTACGTGCAGTGACACTCAGTGACCTCGAAGGGCATACATCATTGAAGTTGTGTAAGCAGACAGTATCTCCCTTCTGGAGACCAGCTTTTCTGAAGCCAGCAACGAGCTTCCGTATGGTACTTCTGGCTTGAGCAAAAGTATAGTATCTTCTCGGATCTTGGGCATCGATGTATATCTGCCTATCGTCTTGAACCCGGGGGTTTTGGAGATACCACGATATTACGTCTTTGCCTGGCAAACTGAGCTTCTCATCTTGCTTGAATACCATCTCGGTGGTAGTCTTTCTCTCCAAGGGCTCGTTCTTGAAGCTGAGGCGTCCCAATGTCGATGTGGATGGCAACTTCTTCCAAGAAGCGCCGAGAAGGGCTTTTGAAGCCGACAGGAGTCATGATTCACAACAGCGATGCCTCTTGCCGTCCCTTCTTCACCGGCAAAAGGTGGTTGAGGACAGTGAAGAAGTGGTCCGTCATTGTGCTTGTTGACCCCGGGCTGCAAAAAAAGGTTCGCTTGAGCCGCATTTGCCCAAGCACAGACCAGCAGTTCTTGAAGACGCGTCGCGCTGCCTACATGTACCTCTTCGTCTTGTTGATTCAAGATCATCACGGCACTGCAATATTAGATCGCGTGAAGCGAAGCCCATTCCCATCGATATGGCAGCATCGACGACCTGGCAGAAGGAAGCACGATCGAGCGCCGAGCGTCGACCCATCCTCGAGTAGAGCTATGCATGCCTCATTAATGGTTCTGTGCGGCGCCCGGGCGCTCGCATCGTGGCAAAGAATGAGATGGTAAATGTGAAGAATTGGTCAAAAGAATAAGGATAAGTCTCAAAAGCCACATCGAGTGACCAGGGGATTTTCTCCTCACAATCGAAGAGGTGAAATGGTCTGTGGATCCCACACCAGCCGACATGCCTCGAGGCCAAAGTGATCGATTCCGCGTAGCAAAAACAGCAAAAAGCTGTCGGTGCCAGGAAACGAGCCTGGGTCTACTCGGATCTGGTCTGAACTACAGAACCACAACGACTTCGAGGGAGTTAGCATCCATTTCAAATCGCACACTCGCTGATTCTTGACCTACATCGTACTAACCACTATACTACACCGACTCATCGAATGCTGATTGGTCAACATGAAGCTGTCCAGCATCACTCTTGTATTATATAGTCTAGAATTTCTTCACACAATTTGGAAGCTTGAAGAAAAATGCCGCGCTTTTGAGGAGAACGTGGGTGCGGTGCGCCATTATTTCCGAGCATTGGCGAGGCACTGATTTGATCCCCAACTCCAACCCACACCGAACCTTTGTATTCGTGCTTACTGCATACAACCTTCCCTCTCACCTACGAATCCTGGCATTTCATGTGAGAGCTGAAGTTGCACAACAAATATTTTTATTGTTAGCACGCAGGGACAATGCAAGTGAATGAAAATTTCCCTCGGCCGGCATCGGAACACAGTCCGTTGCTCCCTAAAACCGACCACGAGCACCTCATAATACGCTGCTCTGCACAAGAAGATGAAGATGAAAATGAAAATGCAATCCCAGAAGTCTCCCTCAAAGTCGAAGCTTCTATCCTCTTCCGATACTCAGGCCCTTTAGTCGTAACATACTTTCTACAGTATGCCTACCAGCTCATCATCATCGCTGTTGCAGCCCAGCTCTCGACCGAGGAGATCGCAGGCGTATCTTTAGGAATCACGACCAGTAACATCACGGGCTATTCGATTTTCGAAGGTTTTGCTACTGCGCTCGATACTCTTTGCTCGCAGGCGTATGGCAGTGGGCGTCTGACCGATGTGGGACTCGATGTCATTCGAGCGACTGTTCTGGTGCATTTGACTGCCGTCGTCCCGATTGGTGTGGTATGGCTTTGCTCTCGCGGGATCTTCAATGCTCTCGTGCCCCAAGGAGACCTTGTAGAGCATGCTAGTAGCTTCTTGTATTGGACTTTGATCGGAGTTCCGGTAAGCAGCAGCTACGTCTTCAGTGGGGGCATTACTGACTATGTGCAGGGCTATTGTGCTTTCGAACATGGTAAACGCTTCATGCAAGCCCAGGGCAACTTCAATGCTGGACTGGTCGTACTAATTGCCTGCCTGCCTATCAACCTCGCATTGACGTACTATCTGGTCATCGTTGCCGACATGCGTGTTGCCGGTGCAGCGCTGTCTTCATCTTTGACGAATCTCATTCGGCCCATCTTGCTCGCACTTTACGCTATGGTCATTGACCGGTCCACTCTGCAATGCTGGCCCTCTGCTCAAGAGGTGAAGAAAGGGTGGAGAAAAGGCTGGAGACTTATCATGCGCCTTGCTATGCCAGGCGTACTGATGAACTTGTCTGAGTGGCTTTGCTTTGAGATTTTGACCTTCTGCACGACGTATGTTGGTACTGCCGCACTTGCCGCCCAGACTTTCCTTGCCACTACGACAACGATTGTCTGGCACGTGCCTTTCTCGGCTTCCATTGCTTGCAGCACTAGGGTATGCTTCTCCTTTCCCGTACTCACTCTGCGCTTGCTAATTGCCCTTAGGTCGGGCAGCTCGTGGGAGCTGGCATGACGAACTCGACCGCGAAGGTAATCCGTTGGTATGGATGTGTCTTTAGCGCGATAGGGATTATCGATGCCATTGGTAGCATCGGCATAGTCGTGCTCATGTTGAAGACCATCGTACACGACTCTGAGGTTGCGAGAATCATCATCGAAACATTGCCTTTCATGGCACTATTTACCTTTTTTGAAGGTAAAATCAATTCGACTGTCTTGCTGATCGCTGCTGACCATGAGCTGCAGCATCTTCAAATTGGCCACACGCCGTTGTCCGCGGATTCGGCTGGCAAGATATCGGAGCATGGTGCACAGGTAGGCGATCTGGCTACCATCCTCCAAAGTCCGATCTGCTCACTTAAATCACAGTCACCATCAACTATCTCTACGCACTACCTTTAGCTGCGTTTCTGGAACTCGGGCCACCTAAAATGGGTATTCGAGGACTTTGGATCGGCCTCGGGAGTGGGCTCGCTTTGGTACTGTACGATGACCGAGGCAAAATCGCTGAGATTTGACTAATTTGCATCCTTAGACAACACTTGTTGAGGCGTTTGTGGTCTGGTTGCGCCTCCGCAAAACCACGGACGGACGCTTGCTCGCAAGCATCGCTGGCGATGATGAGTGCTTGTCAGAAGAATGAGCTCTTACCCACCAAGATGAATTTGGGCCAATGCCGCTCACGGAAAGTCTGCGCACAATTTGAACGTTCCGAAGGCGTCTCTCCTTTCGAAACGAGTTGGTTGGTGCCAAGATGTAAACTCAGTAATGGAGGAGGGGTGTGAGTTTGACATTCCGCTCCATGACTAGGCACTGCGCCCTTATATGAGCCGGTACCTGGATCGTATCTCCTTCAAGAAGCGCAGAGCATCTTCCCGTTTACAGGACTTCCGGACCAGGCATGTTCAGAAGGGAGACTCTATCACAGGCAGGGTACATCGACCGAGCTCCTATGACGTCCAAGTGTCCAATGCTGGTTCCGATACCCTTTGTGTGAAATACGGTCGCGAAGAAGGATGGAGGACACAAGGTATGTCCTGCTCTTGTCGGTCCACTGACTCATTCGTGCTAATCTCGATTACTAGGCAGTGCGCATAAGGTTCGACTGGACTGGGAACAATTGGCAGCGTGTACCGATGACTGTGCGCGATGCGGATGCCATGTGACAGATGCTGTCAATGAATGCTAGATTTCCACCCTATCGTCGACCAGCGGAATCAAATTTACCTCCCTCCTGAGACTTCAACAACGTAAATCTCTCGTTGGCCATTTCCTTGCACCGTAGAAACGTCTAGGTGCTATCAAGCTCTCTCCTTCTCCTTCTTTATGTCGAGTTCTGGTATCTGCTTCAAATGCTTTCCGAATCCAGCCGGAGCCGGAGTTCGAGGCTTCAGAGTCGGAGCAGGGATTGGGAAGGAGGAGACTTCCGATCTCTTGGAGCGTCACGAGCTTTGGTGCCTTCGTAACACTCGCGATGATCAACGTCACTTGAATCCACGCGTGAAAAGAGCATTCGTGATGTCTGCAGGCGAATGAGAGCAGATCGAGAATGTGGCCTCGATAACATCTTTCCACGTTGCCTGGCCGTGCTGCTGAATGGCATGCACGCAAGCTACATGACAACTGACTCACTCAATATGCATATCCGTGCTGGAGCGGGCGAGACCCGAAGTCGCCAGCCAGTATCGTCATTCAAGCATGCTTCTTGTTCACAAGCACGTATCGATATCGCGCCTTGCCCGCTTCCATGTCCACGACGACCTTGTTTGCCTCATCCATAGGCCTCTCCTGGATCCAAGGCTTGATCCTGGCATCTGCGGCAAACTTGAGCATCTCCTCGATCTCGTCTGGCGGTCCAATGCCGCTTCCGCCGACTTTGATCCCATTCATCAACAAGGTGAAAGCACTGATCGCAGGGAACTTGCCGCCGTCAGGTGCACTGCGTGGGATGGTCAGTCGTCGAGTCCAGAATGATCATTGACCGTATGCGCAACTTACCCAACTTGAATGTATGTTCCTCTGGTCTTGAGCAAGCCGAGGTAGTCCATCAGAGGCATGTTCTCCGAGCTGACCGTGCTGACAATGAGATCGAGACTTCTTCGGTGCTTGGTCGGCCAGTCTTGGTCCTCGGCCGTTGCAATGTATTCATCGGCACCCAGCGCAAGGGCATCTTCTCGCTTGTCGCTCTTTCTTGATATGCCCACGACGCGATCGCAGCCCAGGGCCTTTGCAAAGAGAAGGCCAAAGTGGCCGAGACCGCCGACGCCAATGATTCCAACCGTCTTGCCTGGGCCTGCCCCATTGAATTTCAGAGGCGAGTACATGGTAATGCCACCGCACAGCATCGGAGCTGCCTCAGCTGACGACATGCCGTCGGGAATCTTGAAGACGAAGTGCGCATTGGTGCGGTTGTAGTCAGCATATCCACCGTATGACTTGCCCTCTCCTTTGGGATATATGCTTCCGTACGTGCTGACGTTGCCCTTGGCGCAGTAGTTCTCAAGCCCGCCCGCACAGTCGACGCAAGAGGTTTTGTCCAAGCAGCTCCGTGCTTGAGCGCCCACACCAACGCGGTCGCCGACTCTGATGTGTGTGACGTTGGAGCCTACGCGGACAGCCTTGCCCACAATCTCATGTCCGACGACGCATGCTGCAAGAGTGGTTAGACCAGCGTTCGTGTGAGAAGGCAAGGGCGATTGCAGAGGCTTACGGTATGGAGTCGGTCCCCAGCCAGAAGAGAGCATATGCAAATCAGATCCGCCTTCATCGTGGATCAGCAAGACTTCACAGCGTGCATCACGCCGATGGACTCACAGACGCCACAGTGCGAAATCTCGATATCAACATCATCTTCCTCCCACTTCTTCGGCTCGAATTCCCCCCACTGCATCTTGCCTTTGGCTGCGGAAGCATCCTCGCCGAGCCATCCTTCGAATCTGTACGCAGCCATGGTGTATGTGGATGGAAGTTGTGTGGTTGGAAATGTGGACGTCAGTCGTAGACGTAGACCCGCCTATCGTGAGGGTTTCAATTGCCTTTTTCTACCCCATGTCCACTCGTCCGGCAAGGGACACCGTCTCATGCTATGATGACATGATCCGCAATGAGCGATGGGTTTTAGTGATGTGTTGCGGCGATAACATCTTGGCTCCCTACGCTTATCCGCCAAAGTCCGAGACGGACATGACAAGTTACTGTACAGTAGAAGTGTTCCCAATCATCGCGAGACTCGTCTGGCGAGAACCCATTCCATTCGTCCTCGCTATATCGGTTATTGTAAGATACACTCGGACCAATCGGCCAAACCACATACTCGATCACTCATTTTTTAATTCTGGCAAGGACTCTTTGACTTCGCTAACTTATGCTCCGCTTCGGGGCAACCTGTGCCGGTACAGTGGGCACAGCATTCTTGGCCGTTTGGTGCTTCCCACGTGACGCCACCCTTGCCACACGCCGCCGATGGGTTGGTCAGCTATATAGCAAGTCAGCCTAGTATAAAAGAGACGATAGTCAATTGTCAACATTACTTACGTGGCAATTGGGTTGTCCGTTCTTGCAATTCAGCGTATAGCCAGCGTCACAGGACGAATTGGAAAGGTCGCAACCACCACCACTTTTGGGTGAGCCAGGCGTCCCTTTGGGTGAGCCAGGCGAGCCAGATTTGGGAGGTGAGCCAGGAGATTTGGGAGGTTCGCCGCCCCATGGAGATTTGGGAGAGTTTGGAGGTCCGCCCGATGGAGATTTGGGTGGCTGTCCCCAAGGAGAGGGTGCTGTCTTCTCATCATATTGGTTCTTTTGGAAAATTGTCAGCTGGAACTCCAAGAACAAATAGGAGTCGACCCTTCATACCACTCCACGAATTCTGAACTTGTTGAATCTTGGTGCTACAACATGGTCCATCGCCTTAATCGTAAAGCCATTGATGCCCTCTAGAGCGGAGGCAAGACTCAGAATAGCGGTGATTGCAAAGATAAGAATGGACTTCATGATGAGAGCAGTAGTGAGTAGTGAAGAGTGCTGAGAGAGTGAATGAGGGATGGGGGATGGGAAGAGTACAACTGTGCTCGACTTATATGATGACCGTCTGATCTGGGAACTCTCTCTCTCTGCCCCGGGTCTTTTTGGACGTTGGAAAGAAGTTTGTCGCTTGGTACACCCTCGTTCAACTCCTTTCATTTTAATAAGGACTGTGCAATGTCATCCGCCGCCTGAACGGTAGATCATTGGGACTCAGTGCCGGCATGATCTGCTTCTGCTATTGGATAAAATAGTATTCACAGGGCCCTGAGACTCTCTTTTCTACAGGGTATCGCATAGATGATAAAACTGCCGGAACTTTGGAAGAGGGTGTCGAGGAAAACCAACCATTAGTAGGAACAGGAGCAAGCTCTTTAGCTCGGAAGCTTAGAATAATTTGAAGCTTATAAAGTAACGTTGAAGCCCTGCGGAGCTTGTTCTCATCGAGCGTACTGTATTCTACCAAAGGCCGGGCTGCCGCTGGGCTTGTGATGAGAACAATCGTCGCCTCGTCGCATCGTCGCTATCGAGGCCGTTCTGGGTGGGAGGCGGATGTAGAAGGTTACAGAATCGCGATTCGAATTCATAACCATCTGCAGCGCTGTTTAGATTTTGCGGGCGCATGTTTGAAATACTCTAGCCCTCCTGCAGCCGGGGAATTTAGCCTAAGGCAGAAGTCGGAATCGTCCTCGAACTCCGCTGCAGGCAAACAGACACCTCCCGTGCATGTTCAGGCCTTTGCTCCGCTCGCGAATCAAAAGTCGGAGCTATGGAGTATCCGGGGTTCCGTCACACACTCCTCCCCGCTGTTCGCGGGGGTTCCGGCCATACGTAAAATCGCTTTTTCTTAGTAGGCTACACGTAAAACTCGATATAGTAGTAGGTTCCAGTCCTATATAGATATCTAGGTATATATAGTATTAAACCGCGAGTCGAGGCATTATATTAGCTAGTTTATCCGAGTATATACTACTATATAGTAGCTATAGGACCTTACTGTCGCTATTTCTTATATAATCCTTAGTAGGCGCGTCTACCTTATTCTAAAGCGTATAGTCCTCCTATTTCTTATATTCTACTATACGGATTGTATATAAAACTCGGTATAGGGCGTAATAAGGGCAAAAACGTAAAGAGGGTGCGAGCTAAGCGGTTAACCGAGGTAGAGAGGGCAGAAAGGGTAGTAGAGCGCGTCGTTTCGAGGTACTACGAATTAGTAGCTAAATTAGATAAGAAGGTTAGTATTCGAGCGCTCTATAAAAGTAAGAAAGCAACTCGCCTATATTCTCGTATCTATTAGCAGTTAAGAGGCCGTAGGTCGCTATTTAGCCGTCTATTAACTAATACTAAATTAGACGAGTCTTAAGAGATAGCGCTAGCGGATTATTATTAAAAAAGGGACGAAATAGGCATATTCTTACTAGTACCGCTAATTACCGTTATAGCGATAGATATACTAGTAAGCCTACTACTAGAAGGTGTATCGAAGGATATAATACCGCTATTTAGTATAGACTAGGCGGACCGCTTTCTAAAGCGCTATAGACTTAGTAAGGTTAAGTCTAAACCGATTAAGATATAGCGGAAGGAAGCTTACGACCTTCTACGATAAGGAGCTAGTTTAACCGGTTTAAGGCGATAATAAGGCGACTAGATATAAAGCCGCGGAACGTATAGAATTTCGATAAAACTAGCTTTCGGGTAAGAACTAGTAGTAACGAGTATATCGTTATAATAGATACGAAGCGGCGCGCCTAGACTAAGTATAATAGTAATCGTACATATATAACTGTCGTCGAGACCGTAAACGCGTTTAGTAAGGTAGTAGACTATTAGTTAATCGTTAAAGGTGTAATAGTCTAAGAACGGTAGGTGCCGAAGGAAGGTAAGTCTATTACTACTACTATTACTACTTCCGAGTCCGAGTCCGCTTCCGAAGCAACGATACCTACTAACTATACTCTCGTTATTAGGCAAGGACAACTTCTTAATTACTATTAACGAGTCTAGATATATAACCGACGATACTATAATGTATTACATCCGCTAGTTTAAGCGAAAGACGAGGCCTAAACATCTAAACGAGTAGAGGGTGCTATTATACGACAATTACGGCTCCTATTGCTTTAAGGAGTTTATAGCCTTTATAAAGCGGTATAAGATTCAATTATAGGGCCTATAACCGCATACTTTACACTTTATATAGCCTTTAGATATAATCCTATTCTAGGCGCATAAGTTAAGGCATAGGCAAGCGGTATTATAGGCTATATACTATAGCATTAGCGAGTTTAGAATACCCGAGTTTATAGAGGCGCTCTTAGCTATTCGGGCTAAGACATTTACCTCTTATAATATTAGGTTAGCATTTCGAAAGACAGGCATATTCCTAATTAATAGGGAGGTCCCTTATAAGCATATTCGAGATTAGTATAGAGCTACTAACCGCAACTAGAACTAGTAAGCAATCGAGAGTAAATTAGTATAGGAAGAGGCCCGATACGAGGAATCGCTAGTAATAGCGGAAATCGCTTAGTAGGAGTATATCGCGTCGGTTAAGCAACAACGTTCTATAGAGCCTACTATTATCGATCTAGAAGGCTAGTCTCGCGCTAACAGTCGCTACTACCTTAAGGAACTCGAGAACGTAATTGCTTAAGGTATACTATCGTTACTACCTTAGCGAATACCGACCCCCGAATTGCCGCAATAGCTCCTATATACTACTACTAGCCCTCGCACGATTAAGGCGTCTCGTATTGCTATATAAGCTCGTAAGGACTTCCGACGCTCTTATCTAAACCTAGTCCCGTAGGGTATATTACTATTATTACTATTATTCTACCTATTTAACCCGTTTTCCTCGTTATCTATAAAAGCAGTAGAAGAGGCGTATAATATATTAGTTAACGCGGCTATCTGCAAAGGTAAGGAATATAAGCGTAAATACTAGTCTACGAGCACTATCGAACGAGTAAAGAAACGTTAGAAGGAACAGCCTAACCGGCTTATTCGAGTAGGTGCTATCGAGGCTAACGAGTTGCGCTTACAACTTACTTAGTAAGACAAGGATATAGCTATAAATAGATACTAGAAGATTCTCTATAAGGCGGAGAGTGCTTATAACAAGGCGCGCACTTATCGATTAAAGTGTAGTAAGTGTTAGGACTAAAGAGGTTATATGTAATTAGTATGTAACTAGGCTCGAGTAAAGCTAGGGTCTTAATGCCTTAGGTAGGGCTTAGCGCTTAGCGTTAGGCTAACTAGCCTACCTTCCTCCCTCTTCTCTTAGATCTCTATCGAATACTACCTGTACCTACTACTACCCTATCTACCTGCTAATATACCCTTCTTATATAGTATTCGATCTACCCTTTAAGGGTAGTAGCTAGATAGTTCTTATTTTAAGCTTTTAGCGGTATAGCTACGAACAAGACTAATCTAACTATATTACGCCCGAAGAACAGGACCTATACGTACTATTCTATCGAAACAACCGTACTAATTATCAAGTAAGGCCTTCTATACGGCCTATTACACTAAGTTAATCGTACTAGACTAATATCTACTAATTCCGCTATATCCGTATCTTAGGGGCTAACAATACATTATTAGTATTACCCCCTATTATAATAGCCGGCTTATTACGAAGCAACAACAATCGTACTGCCGCTAGCAGCGCTAGCAATAACAACGCTAGTAGCATAGTACCTACTACTAAAGTGCCTACTAGAGCACCTACTAAAGTGCCTCCTATCGAAGAGCCTACTATAGGACCTGCTAAAGAAGAACCTATAATTCTAGGTAACGACCTAGAATTGCCTATCGACGACATTCTTAACAATATTGTTAACCGTCGATATAGCTAACTAGCCTTTAGCCCCTAGCTAGTAGCGAGGCTTTAAGAAGCTACCTAAAACAGGCTTACTGCCTTGCGTTAAGAATAATAGCTAAAGGATAATCTTCTCGAGATTCGCCGCCTCTAGGAATCTCTAACAACTACTACTAAGCTAATAGCAGGACCTTCTTTACTACCTATCTAAAAGAAGGATACTAAACTTAAGGACTGTACCGTATTTAATAGCTCTAGCCGGAAGTAGTACAACGACTACATTCGTAACTGTAAACTTAACTAGCGCAACGTACTAAGAGCGCTACTAGACGACTATTCCTTAGTCGTATACGCTATATAGTACATCAATAGCGACCTAAAGCGTATATAGGATAACTATTTTAACTCCCTTAACGATTAGACCGCTGTTTAGTAGCAGACCTACAAAACCATTATACTAGATACCCTTAGAAACCCTATACTAAGGCAATAACATGCTTAGGACCTATACCTTCGAGCTAAACAGAAGACTAATTAATCGGCTCGCTTATTCGAGGCCTATTTAAAAACCCTTAAAGACGACCTTCCGCCTAAGACTAATTCTATATAGATCTCCGAGATACGCCTAAAACTTAGATAGGAGCTTATCCTCGAATTAGACCGTCGCCGTATATTCGAACAAGCTAATCTAATACGCATTTAATTTATAGTCGAAGTAGAAACAGCCGAACGGGCTGTTTAGCTCTAATAACGACTAGAATCAAGGATCCGACTAACTAGTACTAACCGTAGCAACCGTAGTAGCTATAGAGGAAACTAAGGTTCCTACTATAACAACAATTCTAATAATAGGAATAGTAACGACCGTAGAAGAGGCCGTAGCCGGCGGCTATATAGAGGAGGCCGCGATAGGGGCCGTAGAAGGGGCTCGTATCCCTATAATACTAACCGCTCGGCTAACAATAGCAATAATAGCTACGGCAGTCTACTAACCGGATTAAAGTGCTTTAATTGTAATAGCACTAGCTATCTACTAGGCTAATGCGACAAACCTAAGGACTAGGCCCGAATTGACCGTGCTTTAGCTAAGCATAGGAAACACCTTTTAGCCGCTAATACTACCCTAGTCGGCTCTTTTAATTAGTCGAAAAAAGAGTAAGCGCCGTACTAACTGTTAGCCTTGTA